TCATTATAAGACCAAAGCAATACATTCCCTTTTAAGAAATGCACACTTCGTCCAAAATCCAAAGATTACTGCTTAAGAAAAGTCAGTTAACAAACTGAGAAATAAACTCATTTGCTTGCTTTTTTTAAAGCCCCTAGTTCCAGATTCGACCTCCCAGCTTTCCTACTAGACAAGGCACAGGGCGGTGTTGCTCTTTAGAAAGCAAGACGTCCATCACCCAAGGGTCATTTCTGCCTCAGGCAGCCCTGCTATTCATTCAAACCTCCCAGACTGCCTTTCAATAAGAAATGCTTGATTATCACATCACCTGCCTCTGCATTTCCTACTACATTGTATTTGCATGTTTACACACACTACATCATATTCTCACTGTCCCCTGGCTCTACAAATCTGCTAGGAATGCATGGTAAAAGATGTCTTAAGGAAAAGGTCCTCAACATATGCACTTCAGTTTACTTTTTCTCCTGAGTTGTGTTTAGGAACACATCTCAGCCAGTGTTACTTCCTGCCTGTCTATACACCAGGTACTGTGGAAACAAAACTATTCCATTTTTTTTGTAATACACATTCATAATTTCAGTCAGCCCTTAAAAAATCAGTACCAGAATGCATTACTGTATAGGTTTAATGGGGTTTTATTTTTATTTTTGAAAAATTTCCATAATCAGATACTCTTTTTCTGGAAATTTCAAGATTTGCATGATTTCTCACTCCCTAGGATGATTCCCTTGGATGACCCTACAGAGACAACACATGGAGCCTCCAAGTGCATAGGCTGAGAGAGAAATCACGGTAGCTGAATAAGACTCAGTCAGCACATCTTGTCATTTCCTCCAATGCTCTGAGATTGGTAGAAGATCATCTGTTTTCTGCGTCCTGTGACCAAGAACAGAGATGATTTTTAACAGTGGTCAATGCCTGCCTTAGACTTCTCCACAGCGATGGTCAGAGAACCGGGTCCAAAGGACTTTTCACCTTGCCCTTTCATGGTCAATCTTAGTAAATTTCATAGGGGCTAATTTAATCACATATGCTTCCAAGGCTGAAGATTTTCATGAAGTAGAAAAAGAAATTGCAGAATTTGGACATGATTGTTTCTCTACAAAGCAATGTTTGAATCATTGGCCCGAGCTCACTCAGTAGCATCCAGTGGCCCTAAATCCATAAGTGTGCATCATGGGAAAAAACTGATGGACTAACTGACAAGCAGAAGAATCAAGGAGCAAGCCTGCTTTTCTTCAGTGCCCAGATGCAATGATATGCCCCACCATCCCTGGAATAGGAAGGACGGGATGGAAAATCATTTACAGTTGCTCCATGGTAGAAGCTCAAGTCCTAAGAAAAGTCACCAAGATTTTGCTCTTATCAATCACCATGAGTAGCTTTCAAAAACATTAGGGCAATTTTTCTTGAATTTCTCCAACTTCATCATCCAAGCTAAGATGTGACTAGAGTTCTACCTTGTAGCTGCCAGAGAAAATACAAAGATAGGCACATGCAAGAGGCTACTTCCTGGTTGCAGAGAATTAAGGTGTGGGCAATTTCCAGAGAGGAAGATGAAGCATGGAGGCATTCTTTTCACAGTGGTTGGGCAAACACTGTGCATGCTGAAGACAGAAATATTCATTGGGTAGTATCAGGTTTATATTCAGATAAAACTCAGAAATCATAAGGGAATTCATGAGCACCACATTAAGAAATGATTTTCTCACATAATTGTAGCAAAGAGGGGAGAAGAACCTCGTCTCCTCTCGACTTCCAATTCTCTGCTTTTCCACTACAATACGACTGCTGTTGTATTTTTCTACATTACCCTCTTGTTCAAGGTAATTTCCCCAGTGACAGGAAACTATGTTAGTTCCAGCGGGTAATATTTCTGAGTGAAGACTATCCTTGTGGAACACTCCTCCTCAACCTGTCTCTCCTTCCCCTACATCCTCCCATCTGAAGACCACTACTGCTGTGAGAGCAGGGTTCAAGCTGGTCTCACATTTCCTTTCTTATTGCAACCACTTCATCTCCCATGACTGATTTTCCTACCAAGCCTCTCTTCTTGAAACAAAAAAATGAGTGGTGTTTTAACTCCTTTTGATTTGAACAGACTGAAAATTATGTTCAAAAAAAGTCAAACATAGTTTATTTAATGAACATACTACCGTGACTCCCACAAAGATATGAGGACATACCTTGATGAGCCTGGATTCCAAAGAGCAAGGGTGTGTGATGGAGACAGGTGATGCCCAAGTTGACAAGTAGGCCTTCATGGCTCACACTGACCAGCTCCGAATTAGATGGGAGCAAGCATGCGTGATTTGACTTTGGTGAGTAGAATCCTGTTTTGGTCTCAAGATACCAACCTATTTCAGGGCCATGGGGCTGTATCTAACGACTGAACAGCCCAGGGCTATAGCACAGTAAGCGCTTTTAGCTTCAGAGAAAAAGATTTTCTTCTTTCCTAACCCTTACATCTGCTCCCACGCCCACTAAGCCATGTGCTCAAGACTGATGACGATACAATATTCAGATAATCAAAATGACCTGCACTGATTCTGTGAAATTGGTGTGCTGGTTTGGTTTGGGTGCTGTGTTTTATGTTTATGGAACTAGGATTCCAACTTTCGTCTTCTGACTGCAAATTCAGTTCTGTTCTTATAAGACTGAGTAAGTCACAATAGCTTAAAAGTTTTCACCTCTGGTTGAATTGCCAGATAAAATACAGGCCACTTGTTAACTTCAAATTTCTGATAAAGAGGGGCTAATATTATTGTGGAGCCCTGGTGGTGCAATGTTATTTTAAGTATGTCCCCAATGTTACACGGGGATTCCTTGGAGTCCTGTATTTTATTTGCTAAACACAGCAAACCTATTCTTGCGGTGACTATGAAGTTTAAGAGAATGTTAATCACTAGAATCTAGCTTAAAAAGTACAAATAGGATCACTGATCCCAGAAAGGAAAAAAAAAAAAAATTAAGAAACAAGACTGCATTAATTTTAATGGAAAAAATATATATATTGGAACACACCTTAACTGTATAATGACAAAAAAGGAAACTGAAAGCATTTTTGATAAATGAACATAGCTTGTGTTAGTTACCCCCAGTCACACACAATACTTTTGGAAAGAGGAAAAAGAAACAGAAAACATGAGTTTCCCCTGAGATGGAGAATTTTGCGGAGGGAGGAGCTGTCACTGTAGAATCTATCTGGAACTGTTTGACTTTTGAACCATGCAGACGTGTGCTTGTTTAATTACTGAATTACAGTCAGTGTCAGAAATAAAAACTTCAATACAAATGCACAACAGAATAATCTGAGGAGCAACAGGAACCTACTTCTGCTCATGGAATTAGAGGCTGCTGGCCTTCCGTTGATGCAGTGGGGCTTTCCAGGAAAGAAGATCATGAGAAAGGCTAGCCGTGCTGCAGCCCCAGAGCTTTCACTAATGGACAGGAGTTTCAGGACACAAGGACTGATTCCTAAACAAGGATGCATACACACACTGCATGTATACACACCAAACATAAAGGAACTTCTGGACAATCCTAATTTCAAACACTTAGTTTCCTTGTCTCTATTTGTACCCTAGCCATCATCAGACAAAGCAGCCTGAATTTTGTTCATGAAGTACTGGCACCCTTGTAATAATTCAAGAACCTACCACCTAGAGCTGGGGAGCAGGGTGGGTTCAGGGGGACAAAACTAGGTATGTTGATAAGAACTGAGGTCTAGACTAGAGCCTTTGTGCTGTGAATCTGAGAAGGAACCCACAAATCACCCTAAGAGGTTCACACAATTTGTATTGTCAACTGTAATTTGAAGGAAACTTGTAGCTTTTGCCTGCCTCTCAGATCCCTTTTATGGAATGTCTCCTCATCCCAACCTTCCCTCTGCCCCTCCCCCACTGTAGAATGTCTTGAGTCCTACATTCTACTCCTATTTAGATTCAAACTTTTCCCTCCTTTTCTGGGATCCATGAGCAGCTGTTGGAGCCAAATCACGCTCTGAGTCCTGAGTCCAAGACATGAGGATTTCACATGCTGAAGGTTTCCACACAGCTGTGGTCAGAGCCCAAGTCTTTGGAGATGGCTTCAGAAGGAGGTAAGCCTGGTGGGGAGAAGGTGTGTTATCAGATCCTTGCCACCCCTTCAACACGGGAATTCAAATTTGATGCTAACCCTGCGGACAAGCTCTCTAAGCAGGAGTAAGGAGTGGACACTGACACCACCCAGGACATCTTACCTGGTGAGGCTGAAGAGGCAAAATGGGAAAATGAGACAGGAGGAAAGTGGGGAAAGAAGGAAAGTGGTTTTATAATGTGCATCATGAAAAGGAAGGCTGAGGAGGAGATGGGGAAATCACTCTTTTGAAGACTCACTCCTTCAAAAAGGTTTGGAGGATGCCTTCACTTTAGTAGGTCCCTGCCCTGCTAGAGAGCCTGCTGGGGTATTTCAGACAGAGTAGATGTCAACCTTGTTCCATGTGCTGGAAACAGGGTATCTGCCATGGATTCCTGAGATAGGATCTGAGAGTCAGTGATAGCTTGGGCCTCTTCCTTCTTGGTAGACTGAGGCCTGGCAGTCTGGTTGAACTGCTCACAAGTTCTCTAGTGGGAAACTTCTCAACTGGATGGAAGGAATGTCTAACTTACTCCAGGGACTTTTCCAGTCTTCCCCAGTTCCCCGATCCATACTGCTGCTCATCAGTTGAGATGCATTGCACTTATTCCCAGTGACCATGCAGAGGATTCGGATCACCTAACACCCAGTTGCCTTTCCTTCCACTCCATTTTGTCCTTTTCCTTTGTCTCTACAGCAACTCCAGTGCTGGGACCAGACATGACCATGAATCCTGGTGCCTCCATGTCTCCTTTCACTGCACTGCCCTTTCCCCCACCCACTCCTGGACCCCTACACCAAACACACTGGGAGCAGTATCCGCTGCCCCTCATGACTTCATCCTGCCCTCCTGGCATACCTCTGGGGCTCTCTGCTTTCCCCAGGACACTGCTGGTGCCAGGTGTCGGGGACTATGGCCCCAGTGGGGCCAGGACTGGCAAGGTCATTGTCCAAGTCAGGATAGAAGGGAGATCAGCAGAGCTCCCTGGAACTCAGACCTTTGTCATGGCACACACCCCACTCAATTGGAGTGCCCCGGGGGCTCCCGGTGGGGCAGTTGAGCATGCTCCAACCCCATTTGGGGAAGCCTCTGCTGTGCAGCAAATGATCCCTGCCACTTCTGTTGTGGGTGCTCAGGCTTGTAGGGAAGGTGGTCCCCAGCTCCTTCTCTTCGAGCTCCACCACCAGCTGTCCAGCTGGCCTCCATTTTCCCCCAAGTGAAGGCTTGGTCAGGCCAACATGCTTCTTCTAGGGAACAAAGTCTGGCCAGCACACAATCCAGGCCTTCGCTGGATGACTCCTCCTGTAACCCCAAGAGTGTTTATGAGAACTACCGACGCTGGCAACGCTTCAAGTCCCTGGCCTGGAGGCACCATCCCCAAAGTCCCGATACAGAGGCTCTTTCTTGCTTTCTCATGTGAGTGTCCTAGTCAGTGGGGACACCTGAGATATCCTGAAGCTTTTAAATGAAGAGATCTTGGGGAGACACAATGGAGATTAGGCTCTTTAGGAACATTTGAAAGAGGGTCATCAAGGCCATGGGATATGTTATGAGAAGATACATTCCCAATAACATTAACCACACCACCCGGTGTACAACACTTTCAGGTGCCTTATCTCAGTTGATGCTGACCACCTTGTACGTGAAGCCAATCTTTATATTGCAATCATTACCCTAATAATTATTTATAAGAGTCTAAACACTGTGGTAAAGTGCGGAGCCATGATGTGAATTTTGGTCTCAGACTACAAACACCACGTTCCTCCACTGGTCTTTATCTTGCAACAGGAATTGACCAAATGTTGGCAAGTGCCATGTCAAATCCAGAGGACGGGGAAACGGGCAAGACCTAGGACAACCATTTTAAGTATACTCCCATCCTCTTTCCTCTGGAGAATTCCAGTTAGAACAGGCAGGTGACAGAGTATGCATAGTGGTACAGGGTTTGGGCTCTGCCCTCCCTAGATTTGTAATCTTGAGCAGGGCATTGTTCATCTTCACCCTTGTGTATCTCATCAAATAAGGAGACAATTACAATTAATTCAGAGGATAGCTAAAGAGATGACATGAGCTAATATATGAAGTGCTCCAAAAGTGCCTGACACATGCTGTGCCTCATTAAATGATGTCCATGATTATCATTGTCATGAAGAAAAGCAAGTGTAGACCAAGATAAGGACCCACAAAAGCAAAAATGTCCTAGCTACAGTGTGTAGTGGAAACTGGCCATGAAGTCCAGGGTCATGGGCTTCTGTGAGTGGAAGGCAGTGTGATTAGTCATGTGGGAAGCTTTGTCTTTCCACAACAGATCCTATACATCTGTTTACTCTGCACTTCCCCACAGGTATTATGGGTCAAACAATATGGCACTCTTATCACATTCCACAGGCTATTTTTCCACATACATGTTGCTCCCAATTGGCTGAAAGACTGAAGGAATCTTCCTCCCCTCTCTCTTACTCTCTGAGTAATAAAGAAAATATCAGTGAAATCCAACTCTCAAGCAGTCTCAGGGATTCCCTGCATTCCAAAACAATTGTGTTTCCTGTTTGATCACAGTCTCAAATGCAGATGGGCAGCATGATTTTGGAAACTCCAGATAGCACAGGTCTTTCTAAATTACCATGGGCTGCCCTCACCTTTGCTTCTGGGCAGAACTGTTGCTCTTCACACTCTGAGACTCGAGGGCTGTGTTCACCAAAGTTCAGCACCTCCATTTCAGAGTCTTCTAGGAGCTGGCGAAAATGTCTATTCATGGGACCCTTGGACTTGATCTTAGAGTCTACATTTTAAGGTGGTCTGGCAGGTCATTCTGTCCACAATCCTACTGAGGACTCAAAGCACATTCTTTTCTTTAGACTGTCCTTCCCAGGAGTGCATCTTACTATAGTTCTCATGCTCTGTGAGTGGTATCCTGGAGGAAAAAGCACTTGAAATCTAAAACACTGAAGGTGGATTTGACACAGACAAATAGCAAGATAGATGTGATGATGGGAAGGGGATGTCTAAGGGTTGGGTCAAGATGGGGATGGAATATGTACTCATAGAAAGTTATTGACATGCATGGGGTTTTAGCCCAGTCCTGCAATCCCTGGCCCAACTGAAGCCCACTATGACCCTGGAGAAGGGACTGTGGCGGTCCATGCAGGATTGGCAGCACAAAGGCAACTTTGACCGGATGATCTTCTACGAGATGGCAGGAAAGTGAGTTCATGGCATCCCGGCCCTGTCGGGAGTGAGTGATGAGCTGTGAGTGAAGAGGGTGTTTTGAGAGTGGCTGTTGCCTGGCTTTGTTGGTACAAATGCAGGAGATGTTGTGAGGAGGAGGTGTGTACCTGGACAGGGCTTCTGTTTCCCTAATGATCCCTCTCTACTCTCAGAAAATTTCTAGGACCAGGGATCTAGGAACTAGTCCTTGGTGTTATCTGCAATCAACTTCATCCCATCCCAGGGTCAGGCTGTCAGCACTACTGTTCTGTTTTAGGCAAGGGCAGGAGAGGCTTGGAGTAGGGTGTCCAGGAGTGGGCTACTGCTGTGTGTCACATAGGTCTGACTGAAGTCAACAAGCGTCAGTGTTGTGGTGTGCTATCAGGTGCTAAGAGTGTGGAAAAGAAGCGAGCACTATGTCTCTGTCAGGAGGGTCTTCCAAGAAAGCATGGATGATTGCCTTCACAAGCTTCCTAAGTCATGATGAGTTGTGGGGCAGGTGAAGGGATGATGAGGTGAACATGTAAGGGGCCCTCAAACCTTGTTTGTGCCACAGAGAGCAAATCCCTCCTGGGAAATGGACTTACTCGGCACCTTGACAGGTCACTGAAGGCACAGCTTTCTCTGTTGCCCCACAATCGGCAGTTGACTGGTGCTGGGGCTCCTGGTGCACCTTGCCTTCTTCTCAGCATGGGCTGTGCCTCCCTCACCCTTGTCAGGTTCATGGAGTTTGAGGCAGAGGAGGAGTTACAGATTCTAAAGTTGCAGCAGAGGAATGCGTCCGTGTGCTTGCCACCTCCAGCTCTACGGAATCTTGAACCTCCCAGGCCTTCATCCGCTGTGGTTGACCAGCACCGAGGTATGAATAACCAAGTTCAACAGGAGCTAAGGGCCAGGGGTCAAAGGACATATGTAAAGACTGGCCATGTTTGGAAGAAGGCATTGTCTTCACATGTAGTACTTTCCTTTCCAGACAGGGCAACGGCTATTTCTATTAGCATGGCCTGCCAGAAGACTGGGGTCTCGGCTACACTTCATTACACACTAGTAGTGAGATGGTCAAGTTTTATAACTACTGTCTCCCATGGATTATCTAAGGTGGGGTCCAATATTTAATCAGCCTAAAACGTGGGTCTCAATGAAAGGATTTCTTGAAAAAGCAGTAGTTCCAAGTTTCCTCACAGGATGACTCTCTTGGACCTTAAACCTCTTACATCTTCTCCTGTCACAGTTCTTGTGGCTTCAGGTGTGCGCACCCCACAGGAACCATTGCAGTGTCTCCGAAATTCTGCCCTTACAACATGTGGTTGGGTGGTGACTTAGTTATCTAGTGTTGCTATAACAGAAATAATACAAGTGGATGGCTTAACAAACAGAAATCTATTCCCTCACAGTCTAGGAGGTGAAAAGTCCAAATTCAGTGTACCAGCTTCCGGTACACTGTTGGTTCTGGGGGAAGGTCGTTGTCATCAATCTTCCCCTCATCTACAAGCTTCTCACCACAAGGCCCTCGAGCCCAAAGGACAGGCTCCCTTCTGGGGGCCTCTTTCTTGGTGGCATGAAGTTCTTCTCCTCTCTGTTGACTTCTCTCTTTTATATGTCAAAAGAGATTGGCTCAAGACACAATCTAATCCTGTAGACTGAATCCTGCCTGATTAGACAACTGCCTCTAATCCTGCCTCATTAATATCATACAGGTTAGGGTTTACAACATATATGATAATCACATCAGATCAAAAAATGATAGACAACCACACAATACTGGGAATCATGGCCTAGCCAAATTAACACACATTTTGTGGGGACACAACTCAATCCATAATAGGTGGAAAGAGCTAGAATTTGCTGCTATAATTCATCTTCTTCTTTCCAACCCTTCCTATAGGGTTCATTCCAAAGAAGGGAGGTCCTAAGGCACAGCACCCCAAGCAGCATCAACACAGAGTCCAGGACCCTTGGGAGCCCAAGTGACCCAATGAGATCCCTCCTAAAGCCGTGAACGAGTACGCTGAAATCATGGAAAGTCTCTTTGGAGCTGCCCATTCAGCCACTGTAGAGCCAGATGGAAAATATCAAGAAGAAAATGAGCAACAGCAGGAAGAGAATGGGATATACTCAGACCCGGGACTCCTGAGCTACACAGACAAGCTGTGTTCACAGGAAGCATTTATTACCAAGGTGGGCTGGGACTTGAGGTATGATGTCTGTGGATTCTGTACTTTTGGAATTCCAGCAACCAAACATCTGTAGTTTGGCCCTGGACATTGTAATTCAGCTCAATTCCCTACACTCTGAACAATGTGTGTGTCCATTTCTTGCTTGTGTGTGTGTGCCTATGTGTAGGTTGGGGTGGTGATGTTTTAATACAATGCTGGATGCACATTTCAGAGGGGGATTATTGACTGTCTTCTAAAACCTATAAATCCATGGTTACTCCTTGTCAAGGATGTTCACATGCCTCCTCCTTCCATTATCAGGTGGAAGCAGTTATTCACCCTCAATTTCTGGAAATGTTACTATCACCAGAATCACAGGTAGATCGCATGTCCTTAATGCAGGAGCTGGAGAAAGAAGAAGGACTGACTCTCACCCAGGTAAACCAGAAGAGGAAGGGAGAATCATAAGATGAAACCCAGAGGATTTCATCTAATGCAACAGTGCCTTGGCTGGCATGGCTTCTGGGGAAGGACAGCTCCAGGTGTGGGAGCAGATGCAGAACAATGGAGTGGCCGAGAGGAGAAGTGGTAAGTAATCCAGGTCGGGAAAACCACACAAAAGGATGAACAGGGATAGATGCAGTACTGGTTACTGAACCACACTCATGTTGAGTGATTTCCCTGAATCCTGCCCCAATACCATGGTTTCCACCACATGCTCAGCCAAGTGTCCTCACAATCTGTACAGAATCAATAATTATCCATTTTCCTTCCTTGCAGCTAGTAGAGAAGCGATTGCTGGAATTGAAAGGAAAAGTGGGTGTGGAAGCACCCCCAACTTATGGTGTGCCACCCATGGAGTCACTTTGTACAGAGTCTGGGACCAGTGAAGATGCAGACAGCACAGATAACCGTGGCATCCAACTAGGGATCAGTGAGAAAATGAGCACAAAAACACTGAATGCAGATGAGCTGTCTAAGTCAAAAGAACTTGCTGTCTTTACGTGGAGTCCAAAGTCACAGAAACCTAAGTCTGAACTTACAGGGTCCTAGTTGCACTTCCCCTAGATTGTGAACCAGAGAAGACTTAATGTTCTTAGAAACGTCTCCTACTAGTGAAACACCTGGGAAAGGAGAAAGGTCCAGCGAAGAAGAAGAGGAGGAACTCCCCAGCCTTGCCTTTCTCTTGGCGCCTCAACAAAGACTACTGCCCTGGAGTCTTTCCAACAATCCTCTGCCTGCCTCCAGCATTCTGCACCATGGAGTTCGGGGCACCTGGGGTGCATCCCAACCCCCATCTCCTGAGACAGTGAGTCTTAGCCAACCTGGACATAAAGCTGCCAAGTCTAAGATCCCAGCTCAAGTTAGAGCCCCGTCACTTCCTGCCAAGAGGCCCTACTCAGAGGCTGAACACCTTGGAGTTTCTGGGAAGCAACACTTGGGTGTGGGTGAGGTCGAACCCTCACTGCCTCTAAAAAGAAAGTGTGACCCTTCAACACTTGAGAAAAGGAAGAATCGTCATTGTAGCCAATAGCGAACTCTCCTCTTCCATGTTGAGACCCTCAAGCTGGGGACACTCAATAGCTTTGGATTCTCAACTACACCCCCTACTCATTAGGTTACTGCTCCTCCCCTATCCTACTGGTATTTCTTGGCTGTTCTACACATACTATGAGGGCAGAGAGAGAAGCCAAAGGCTGGGCAGGGTGCACATGTACTTCCATGATGGGAAATGAAGAACACTAGCTTTACTTTAGAGAACAAATCTCTGTAAATTGGGATTAAAGATAGTTTTGTTGGAAGAAATTCTCATTGCTTCGTTCATCTTGTTCTCCTCTACTGCTGTCTAAAGAAAAAGATACAGGTGTCGCCTGTTATCCAGATCCACATGTGACTGACCTAGTTCTGTCCTCCAGTTTTAACTGATGTCCTCAGAATGCTCTTGGGGACAGTCTGGCTTTGGCCTCTCACAGGTCACTGACAAATCCCAGCGATTACTTTCATCATCCGTTTTTCACAAGTCCTGGCTTGCTTTGGGGAGCTTTCTGTGGGGATCCTATCTTTATCTCTATCTCTTAACAATCTATTAATGGAATTTGCATTTCAACCTTTCAGCCTTCTTGGCCATTAACTAATATTTCTATAATTGAGCCCGGAGACTGTACTTTCTTTAAGGTACTTTATTTCTATTTCCTAGAAAGATGGAGGACAACAGATCTTAAATGATCCTCAGCATACCAAGAGCTTTTCCTGTGTAGTTGATTTGATCTGATAGGATGAAGGCTTGGCTTCTTGGGGACGTGGCTCTCTGTTTCTCTGCATTAATCTAGAAAATGGCATCATTAACTCTCAGGAGGACTATTAAAAAATCAATAGTTGTCTGCTATTTCTGAATCTTGATGAGGACAGAAGGAGACGAAATTTGCTGAAAATATATTTATGAGGAGTCCTTTCAATAGTGTGTATATGAGCTATGAAAGTAGGCAGGGAAGATAGGAAGTTCCTTTGACTTATTTCTGTGCAGGAAAGAGTCTTATCCAACTGGATTGGGAAGGTCCATCCTGCTGTGGTCAAGGGAACTGACCTCAGGTGACTTTGGGATCTTTCAAGGAGCATCCTGTAAGCACTCTTCCCTTCCCTTCCCAAATGATGTCTGAAATTCTAGGGTTAAATCGATGTACATTCAGCCTTATACTTACAGATAAACTAGTTCCTTAAAAACAAGAGGAAACCTACCTTACACAACAACAACAAAGCCCAGGAAAAGCAGAGATATGATGAGGTTTACAGCAGACCTGGGATGCCTGGAGTGTGCAGGGCTAGATGTGAGCAGGGTAGGAAGGGCTGAGAAGGACTGAAGCATCAGTCATCCTTCTGCTTGGGTACTTGCATAGACCCCATGTTCAGAGCAGTGGGTCTTCCTGTGGTGTGGCATTTTGTCCCTGTGAGTTGCTCAGGTGCTGAGAAATTCCTAACAGGGTCTGGATGGATACCTCGGCAAGGAAGAATCTTTTGGGGGAAAACATCAAGATGAAGAGATGAGAATGAGGGGAGAGGGCACCTCTGCTCTTTCCTCAGAATTGTCAAGTCCTTGCCCTCCAATCTCTGCTTATCTCTTCAGATCTAGGTGTCCAAGGCCTGACCTCTCTGCCCATTCCTCTTAGTAGTTCTGATTCTCAACTTGGAAACTCAGTGGAACTCACCAGTGTTCCCTCCCAGCCCAATATTTTCTACTCCAAGTTCTAAGGTCTGATTTTGTTCCAAGTACCTATGTGTTTTCTGGAATGCTGTGTCCCAGAAGGTTCCTGGCCAACACCATGCAGGTACTTCACAGAGGGTCCTCCTTAGTTTAACCCCCAATACTGGTGTATCCCTGGTATTTAGAGGAATGTACACATCAAACATCGAAAGACCATTTGGTGGATGAAGGTCAGAGGCCTGGCTCCTCCATTCACTGGTGTTTGACTTTAGAAAAGTCCTGTAACTCCTCCGCATTTCAGGGTCTCCACTGGGAAAATAGCTGCAACACTGTCCACCTCTCAGGGTGTTTGGGATATTAAAGGTGTCATGCTTGAAGGGAATTTGCTCCAGCCCCTGCCATGCACTGGGCCCTCAGTCAATGAAGGGAATCATCACATTTACAGTTTGGAAGTTCAGGTGTTACCTCTCATGTCTTCATCACCTGCCTGTTATGTGCCATCAGCACCTGTGTTTGGTTGAACATTTCCCAGAAATAAGAGTCTGGTTATTATGGATTGAATCGTGTACCCAATATATGTGTGTCAACTTTGCTAGTCCATCATTCCCAGTACTGTGTGACTGTCCATCATTTTTTCACCTCGTGATTTTCCTGTGTGTTGTAAAACTACCTCTATGATGTTAATGACGTGGGATTAGTGACAGTTATGTTAAAGAGGCAGGACTCAATCTACAAGATCAGGTTGTGTTTTAAGTCAATCTCCTCTGAGATATAAAAGGGAGAAACAATCACAGATACATGGGGGCCTCACACCACCAAGAAAGTACCGCCGGGTGCAGAGCGCATCCTTTGGACCCAAAGTTCCTGTGCAGAGAAGGGAAGATTGATGACAAGGTCTTCTTGCAGAGACGACAGAGAGAGAAACCTTCCCCTGAACTGATGCCCTGAATTTGGACTTTTAGCCTATTAGACTGTGAGAGAATAAACTTCTGTTTGTTGAAGCCATCCATTTGTGGTATTTCTGTTTTAGCAGCCCTAGAATTAAAACACTGGTGCTGTCCCCATGTCAGTATTCTGAAGAACCCTGAAATGTACTCACCAGCCTGCAGAGTAGGGTCTGACAAAAGGTCCGTCTACTCATATACTTCCTCATAAGCACCTGGAAGGCACTGAGCAACCTCATGTCCATGACACCAACAGTGCTGAGCTGCTTCCGGTTTGATGTATTCCATGACAAATATTTACTCTCCATGAAGGAACTTCCTCTTGGTCTGGTTTCAGAGCTCTTTTCTGGGAAAGCAACAAGATCTGGATTTGTGATTTAAAGAGCTGAGTATTCCCCAATGATGACCAGCAACAGAGGAAGTTTTTGTAACTGGAGAACTCTTTTCTCTGTAATAATGTCGATGTTGCTGCTAGGTGCTGTCAAGTCATTTCTGACTCATAGTGACCCAATGGACAACATAATGAAACACCGCCGGGTCGTGCGCCATCTTCACAATCGTTGTTACACTTGACCCCATTGTTGCAGCCACTGTGTCAATCCATCTCGTTGAGTGTCTTCCTCTTTTCGTTGACCCTCTACTTTACCAAGCATGATGTCCTTCTGCAGGGACTGATCCCTCCTGATAACCTGTCCAAAGTATGTGAGATGTACTATCGCCATCCTTGCTTCTAAGGAGCATTCTGGTTGTACTTCTTCCAAGACTGATTTGTTCATTCTTTTGGCAGTCCATGGTATATTCAATATTTTTCATCAACAACACAGTTCAAAGGCGTCAATGCTTCTTCAGTCTTTCTTATTTATCGTCCAGCTTTCCCACGCATATCAGTCAATTGAAAACACCATAGTGTTTCCAATCTCTCTCACACACACATAGGCACACACATACACATACTTCAATGGATACTCATGCTGTCTCCCCAAAGTTTATAGTTAAATCCAAACAACTTTGTTTTCAGGGTTCAGTGAGCAATACCTTACTGCCAGAAATTATATCTCTTTGAAAAATTATTATTTTTAGTTTTTTATTTTTTGGGCTTTCAATAGCCTTTGCATTCCTATCACTGAGAGCAGTTTACATTGCAACAAATCATAGGAGAATCCTATTCAATGAGCTGTAAATCTACTTGCAGAGGATTTGTGTCAGTCGCGGGAAAGGAGAAGTGTAGGTACAATGGAGAGAAAAAATATGAAGAAATATTTCAACATTTCTCTGGTGCCAACATACTTCAGACACAGAAAATTAATTATCCAACATTTAACATATGAACCAAAAAGTGTTCAAAATAGTAAAGGAGAATATTTGAAAATTGACAGTGTAACGTATTAGTCTAGAAATCATGGAATTTCACATACTTAATCTGTGCTCTATGCTCTTCCAGGTGTTTTACCTCTCCTAGTAACTCACACAATCTTCCTGCTCATCCTGTGAGGAAGGGTTGATGTTAGACTGACATTAGGAAAACACGAAGATGACATCAAAAGGCCTCACTGGGAGTATGAAATATGGAATTTGTTAGTCGGTTATTTTTTTATTCTAATGAGCACAAAATAAAAGGGAAGGGGCTGATGTTTGAGAGGAGGTCTTTAGCTCATGTGTATGTGAGATCTGACATTAGGTGGGGAGGATATGAAGTCTCTTTGCCACATTTCTGTGCAGGAAAGACTCCTGTCCAATTGGATTGATGAGGTCCACTGTGCTGTTGCCATGGGGACTATCTCAGGAGCTTTACAGATCATCCAAAGAGCATCACACAAGCAATACCTCCTTTCCTTCCCAACCAATGACTGAAATTCTTGGATTTCACAGTTGTAGATTTAGGTTTACATTTACATGGAAAATAGTTTCCTCACCAAGAGAATACCACCTTACATAGTAACAAAGCTCAAGTGGAGCAAAGATGGGTTGAGATGTATACCAGGCTTGGGGCTGTGCCTGTCCTCGCTATCAATAGACCTCTGCTGTCACCAGTCCACAGTTTGTGTTGATGCCATGCAATGTGGGCACTGGGAAGGGAGAGTATGTCACTCTCCTGGTCCCAAGATAGAATGCAGGGTGGCAGTCAATAGGGCTTGGTTCCATAGTGGGACACAGTTGGTGGCAATG